CAGAAAGAATCTCGCATTCGAACTCATAATCATAGGAATAGGTTCGGCCAAAGAGAGTTGACCTGTGTCCCAGTAAATGTGTGGTACTTGAGGTGCAGTGAGATGAGGGTTTTGACGTCGTGTTCAAGATAGTTGCTTTTACACAGCGGGAGCGGTGGGGTAGCCTAGTGGTTAAAGCGTTGGCTCGTCACGCCGAAGACCCGGGTTCGATTCCTCATATGGGTACAATGTGTGAAACCCATGTCTTGTGTCCCATTTCTGGTGACGTTGCGGGAATATTGCTGAACTCACTCACTCACTCTTACATAGCGACGCATTTTGGCACTATGGGTATGCTGCGCATCACTGATTCCTATATTATGTCAGAGGTATATTTTAATAGAGTGACATATCCGAGTACACCTGTCAAACGATGAGTAGTATGTAAAGACCATACCGTATTATTTGCTGGGCATGTCTTGTGTTTTGCACCACTTTTAGTCTTATTCCGCAAAAGATAATTCGATAACTGTTCCAGAAAACCAAGGGCGGGTAACTCTAGATCCAGGGATGGATCCAGGGGTGAGTTTATCAGAATGCTTGCCCTGAAAGTGCAGAGGATGTCACGGAGCCGAAGTCCAGTTACCTGTAGCTCACCAAAACTACACTACCATATCATTTATTGGGCACGTCTTGTGTTTTGCACTTTTAGTTTTATGCCGCAAAAGACAATAATAATAATAATAATAATAATAATAATAATAATAATAATAATGAGTGAATTTGTAACGCGCCAATCTCCACGCCAGCTGGTATGCTCATGGCGCTACAAGTAAAGTTATTTGTGTGAGAGTCTGGACAAAGTACTTCTTAAATAAAAACGTTTTGAGGAGAGTTTTGAAGGAGTGCAGGCTTGGGGCTGTTTTGAGATCTTCAGGCAGAGAATTCCATAGAACAGCTGATTGGTAGGCAAATGATCCGAATCCAAATCGTTTTAGTCGTTTTACCATGCATGTGTTTCAAGTATCGAACCAAAGTGGGGATTTTTACAGCGGGTTTTCGGCTTGAGGAACTGACGTTTTAACCAGCTGTGGTGGTCCGCAGGTTAGTTTGGCAGGCGGAGCCGGGGTGCCCGTGTCAGCGGTCTTATGAACATTAAGAACAAAGAACATATTTTGATACAAGTAAAGTTTAATCAAAGTGGGACACTACATAACAAGTCAAATATCAACATTTACATGTCCATGTGTTTCACCAATGTGTAATGTCCATGTGTTTCACATTTACAATGTTCATGTCTTTTACCAATGCATAATGCCAATATGTTTCACCAATGTATAATGTCCAAATGTTTTACCAATGCCTAATGTCCATGTGTTCACAATGCATAAGGTCCATATGTTGTACCAGTGCACAATGTCCATATGTTTCACCAATGCATAATGTCCATATGTTTCACCAATGCATAATGCCAATATGTTTCACCAATGTATAATGTCCAAATGTTTTACCAATGCCTAATGTCCATGTGTTTTACCAATGCATAATGTCCATGTTCCACCAGTGCACAATGTCCATATGTTTCACCAATGCATAATGTCCATATGTTTCACCAATGCATAATGTCCATATGTTTCACCAATGCATAATGGCTTTGTTTCACAATATGTAATGTCTGTGTGTTTCACCATATGTAATGTCCATATGTTTCACAATATGTAATGTCCAGTTGTTTCACAACATGTAATGTCCATATGTTTCACAATATGTAATGTCCAGTTGTTTCACAATATGTAATGTCCATATGTTTCACAATATGTAATGTCCATATGTTTCATAATATGTAATGTCCATATGTTTCACAATATGTAATGTCCATATGTTTCACCATATGTAATGTCCATATGTTTCACCAGTGTAAAATGTCCATGTGCTTCCACATACAGAATCAGTGCCCAACGGCTACAAACAGCCGGTGCCTAAATATATTTGCATAAAACTGTCCTTAGACTGCATTTCAGGGTCCAATAAACCCAAACCTCAATTATCCAGTCTTCTGTGTATATTCTATGGTGACAAATACCTTGGACCATTCGCAACTATAACGGAAGTGACCCTATTGCCGCTATCGCTATATATACTCATACCAATAATGGTTGTCACCCCTTCAATTTTTTTAATTGGAGAGGGGGTGTGGGGTGGGGGTGTACTTGTGTATCAGATCATGTATTCTAGACTCTCTTTACACCCTATAGAATCATTCCACATGTGAAATGGATGTAAATACGGCTTTAATATTGCTGCGTTTTGGCAATTGATATTGCTATGTGTAAACAGAAAATGGAAAAGTGTTACTTTGCAAGCAAAAATATTAACAAAGATAATTTAAAATGTTCCTAAACATTTTTTCACAATATCAAAGACACGTGTTACTTGTTTTCACTAATGCAAATCAGCAGAAAATGTTTTAAAAGACTGAAATCATAGGAATGATTATTTTACAATTTTACACACTCTACAACAGTTGTTTCTTGTTTTAATAGTTGAAAAATGGTGACTTTAAATGGTTTATCGTTGTCCCAAAGCAGAATTTTATTTCAACCTTTCTTTTGGACATCAAAATCACTATTATTGATATATTTCGGCATGGGCGAATATAGGACAATTTAACTCTTCTGAAAAAGATGCATTTCACTTAAATATGAATGCATTTGGGAATTTTTTATCGTGATTTGCATAAAGTTGTGTTGTTAAGCTTTCTTGCAAACTAATATCTTCTAACATATCTTTTTCAGTAATTTCAGGTAGGAGGGTAACGTTTATATACTCATGCCAATAATGGTTTTCAACCCTTTCAAAAATTTTTATTGGAGAGGGGGTGTGGGGTTGGGGTTGGGGTGGGGAGGGGGGTGACAACCATTTTTGACATGAGTATATCTAATCTGATCTGAGCACAAAATCTCACATGTCCATGAGGGTAATTTAGCCACTTATCGGCAGCATTTGAATCGGTTCAAAACGTGGAAGTGAGTTTAGTTTTACTCCACTTCTAGCAACATTCCAGCAATATCACGGCGGGGGACACCAGACATGGTCTTTACACATATCATGTGGGGAATCGAACCCGGGTCTTCGGCGTGACGAACGAACGCTTTAATTACTAGGCTACCCCACCGCCCCCAAAACGTGGAAGCGAACAGGTACAAGGTATTTATTCAGAATAAAGAAACATGGCCTGGATAATCAAAAGTTCCATATGAACTGAAAATATTTGGCGTGGAAAAATAGTCAAACATATTTATATTGTAAATAAACAAAGCTTCTAGTAGCTCCCGTTGTCCTATACTCCTCATACCACGAGGCGTTCACACGTGTTAGTAGACCAGGAATTACATCTGCCTAAACAAATTTCTATACCACATGATCCGACATTTCTCCTGCTCGTAAACAAACAATCTGGCACTCAGGTCAGTGAAGTCAACGGTGATAGAAGTATATTTATGTTTGATTTCAGATTGTTTTGCATAAATTCAACATAAATATCTCCCACTTCAACACCGACAGCAAGGATCACACGGGCGTAGCTTGACACCTCACTAATCCGCTAAACACACTCTATACGTGGGGCAGCACGGTAACCTCCCACAACCCCTACAGCCCATAACCCCTACAGCTTATAACAACAAAGTTCATGGTCCAGTGCACTGCTAATCTCCTGCCTGTTACCTACTTCATACAATGAACCAGGCCAAAAACTTGGCAGCACATCCATGCTAAACGATGGCTAAATACGCACTGATGATATAACGGTATTTCACTATGAAAGTAACCATTCCATTATAAACAGCGTCACCTGTAAAACAGCGTTGTGTCGAACTTCTGATTGTAAAACTAGGTCCTTGCTTTTTCCGTTTTTAGCCATCATTTTGTTGTTGTGTCGAACATCGGATAACACCAATGTACGGATGCCCTATCAACTTCGACACACCGGTGTTTGATTGTATATTTATCTACGCATGAAGATATTTTTTACAAATTAAATGTTAATAAATAAACGTATTTCATTGAATTGTATGGTGTAACGATTCCCACCATCTCTCTGGCCTGTTACAGTGGTACAAGGCTGAGGAGGGGAGTGGTACCTCCCAAATTACAACACACTTGCACTTGTCAACACCTTGCAGTTTGGGCTGGATAAAGACATCGATAATCGGAAATATCGTCGATAGGGAAACTTATTACTGATTATCGATATAAAAATAGTGTCATATATAATATCGTACATATACTTTTGTGATAGAATCAAGGTTTAATGTATGTGTTTAATACACATTATCTAGATGAAGAGATCGATAATCGGGAATATCGTCGATAGGGAAACTTATTACTGATTATCGATATAAAAATAGTGTCATATATAATATCGTACATATACTTTTGTGATAGAATCAAGGTTTAATTTATGTGTTTAATACACAGAGTTAGGTTTCTATTCCCGTGCTGCTTCTAAAGTACGTTCACGATGCTGTGTTATTGGTAATCCATGCATAAACATGTAACCACTCACCAGTGGGAAGGGGCGGTGGGGTAGCCTAATGGCTAAAGCGTTGGCTCGTCACGCCGAAGACCCGGGTTCGAATCCCCACATGGGTACAATGTGTGAAGCCCATTTCTGGTGTCCCCCGCCGTGATGTTGCTGGAATATTGCTAAAAGCGGCGTAAACCACACTCAGTCAGTCAGTCACCAGTGGGAAATTTATCAATATCTCCCAGACATTTGGGGCCATTTTTGCTCAGAGTTACTTCTCCGATATTTATCGATAATTGATCGATATTTAGTTAACGATTATCGATCATTATGATCTCTATCAATAGTCAGCCCAACTTGCAGTATCGACGGAGGTATACAGAGCGAAATATTGCAGTGTTGGTCTTCTATCAAACATTACAGGTGCTGCGGTTGATAGAGCGTATGCGTGGGTTAGTTAAGTGTTGAGAAGGATATCTACAAAACAACGTAATCTAGGCAAACCTCTTTAATCTGGACACCATCAATACCGACCGGAGTAACAGATATACCTATTAATCCGGTCGGTTTCATTGTAACATTGACATTATTACCAGATCAATTTCAAGGTTGTGTACACGTACATGCGTTTCTGTACCTGTCCGGATTTCGGGGGTTCCGCATTACCGGGGGTTCACTGTTCATACCTGATAGCAATCGGATAAACAAAATCCCGACTAACGAAGTTGGGTATAGACAAATAGTCACTGGGTGTGTTTACAAGTCCTCGTTTAAACACACACAACGTCACACTTAAAAGGATATGCATAAACATAGATTACGGTAATGTGCAAAATCAGGTTCACCCGACCCGGGTGAGAATGAAACCACGCATGTCCAAAGTTCAAGTAGAGCGTACAAGATCTGTATATCTCTGCTCTTTGTGCAAAGCAGCGTGCCTTCAACCAATTTTTACGGCCCAAGTCCGGCTTGAAAAGGTCGCATTTCTTTGGCAATTGTCAAAGGGTTTCTGCCAGGATAAGGTATGAAACAGTCACGTTTAAACATGTGGCATGGGCGATTGGATGGTCTTCTGTTGAAACGAAATCTGGAGTTCGTTCGCCATCGTGAGTCTCGACGCTCGACACAGCGTGTTTTGTCACAATCAGAATTGTCACAGAGACACGAATCCATTGTTTGTTTGCTTGTTTGTAGCTTTGATCACATTATTTCTAATGATACATCTCGCACCCGGCTTAGAAATGACTGTCGTCAAGTCGTCATTATTTGAGCTGGAAAACAGTCTTAATCCGTTTCAGCAAACCAAGTTCCTAATTTTCGCTATTACAATCGTCTTTTTTTTTCCGGGTTATATCCCGAGGCTTGCCAAGTGTTGCCTCGCTTTGAGACGTAAATCTGCGATACTGGAATTCTTGGCGGACCGGAAGCTGCTGTCCGGAAGTGCGGTGTAGTTGAGGGCAGCGAGATGGTGATGGTAAAGAAGCATCGGATGAATAGGATGTTGAGAAGCGCTGGCAGCGGCAGCAGCAGCGGCGGCGGCAGCGGCGGGATGGAGGGGTAGGAAGGGGTAGAATGGTGGGTATGGCAGTCTCTCTATCCCTGGTTCTCGGACTTGAGGAAAGTTCATGAATGGGGCCACCCGACACGGGTCCAGCGGGGTACCTTGGGACTGCATCAGAAGACCAGCTGAAATAAACACAAAGATCTCATTAACACATTAGCAGCAGTAGAATACAAACTAATAATGACAAGTAGCTATAAAACTGATATCCATTTAAACACCCGTTGAACGGCGGGTGGGGATTTTGATTTTGGAGTCCTATCACAGAACGGGTTCGGGATTGGGAGGTTAGAGGTTTAGATCGGAACAAGATGTAACAAAGCGCCTTTGAGCAGCTGAGCTGGATGTCGGCGCTATACAAATGCTAGCATTATAATAACACCTAGTGAGACATATTATTAGATCTAAACATACGTTATATTTAGAATTAAAGTTTCTCAGTAAAGATTCTTGTACTTTTTGGATTTGGTTCCCTCCGGGATTCGAACCCACACTCTCAGAGTGAGGCACCTATTCGCTATAACATTGAGCCACTCAGCCACCGCGGCTTCCACAAAATGGAAGCCTGACAACTGGTAGTATTAGTGTACTCTTCTGACAAGTGTAAATTAGGTGCCTCACGCCGGTAATGTGGGTTCGAATTCCGGACGAAGCTCAATCCAAAAAGTACAAGAATGGTGTACCCCAAAAATGACTAGAATCTGTACTTTACTGAGAAAGTGTAATCCCCAAAATAGCATGTTACATGTGACCATTTTCTAAAGGCATTGTATATTCATCTCTTTAGATGACCAGGCCACCCGTTATGTTTTCAAAGACGGAATGAGCATGGCGCTTTAGCCTCGCACTTACAGAGCATACAGGCGCGAGTGTCTGCTTTCTGAAGTCCGGACTAAATAGTACTATCCTACTGAGATCCCATGCCGCAGTTTGACGTTGAAACCTCTCTATGATGCAGACTACTGATGTTGAAATGTCCTGCCATCTTTATATCTTAATGCTCAATTAGGAAATTGATGTTTCGCTGTTCTACTATAATGGAAATATTTCAACGATGTGTGTGCGCTGCGCGTGAGTGAGTGTGTAGGGGAGTGCGTGCACGTGGCTCTGTGTGTGTGTGTGTGTGTGTGGTGAGTGAGTGAGTGTGTGTGTATGTGTGTGTGCGTGCGTAGTTGGTTGGTTAATAATCTCTCATGACCCAACATCTGCATCAATATACCGTATTTATTTTTAATCCACGCCAAACCCCCACCCCACATACCCACCCCTCAAAACATATTCCCCATCCCTGCCTATACATCATCATCTCTCCCCGACAACCCAGACCCTAATCACCACAGCTTATTCTCCCACCCCTCGTGTTGTGTTAGTCCAGTGTGGAGAGACCCTCCACATAATACCGCTTGGTAGTGTTCCAATAGTTTAATCTCCTTCAGACCACGCCGCGAAGTCTTTCACACAGAACCACGGCAATAAAAGTATAAGCCTCCGCTGATTATTACACTCTGATTCCTCCAAGACGGCAAATAGAGGAAAATTACAGTAAATATTGTCAAATTTACTTCCTTCATTTTACCAGCCCTCACAATTATTGGACATGGGCGGCCATTGTAGTAAAGCCCTAATTGATTCTTGGAGGGGTTTTATTTAGTGATCTATCATAAAACCCCGTGCTATCGTCCTAATTGAAGTGTCGCCAAATGTTTACCGCCCGTGTCGAAGATTATGATAGCTAGTGAGAGTCATCCCCTCGCGCTGGCAATTGTATTCGTCTACCCTAACAACTGATTCCAATCCGACAACTCGACATCCCCTATGTTGAGCTAATTCCTTCAATTGGTCCCCCTCAACGCCTCGGAGCCATACTTCCCAATCGTCAAAAATAAAAATGTACGCTTCGGCTGTAAAGAGGGGAAAGGGGTCAATTTTTGAATGAAAGAAATTTGAAAATGTGACCTGTATCCGATGATCTCTGATGATCAAATATTTAACAAAACTCATTCATCAAGCGACGAGACACGCCGAAGCAAAGATCATCCTCGCGTAGCGGGGAAAATAAACACAGGCTTATTGAAACTGGCGATGTTACTATTTGGCTCATCCAAGAGACACCCAGTAATTGCTTTATTAGATGGATAACACGACATTAAATGATACCATAGAGTACAAATTCAGCTCTCCATGACAGTTTTCTCTTCGAATCTACTGATTAAACGGCGGGGATAAACTAGGACGGGGGCACCGATGTCGCGTGTACAATTAGAGTCGGCAAATTGGAAAATTTCCGACTGGGTCCGGTTGTTTGTTCCGGAAAGATGTGTTGTTATTTATGAGGACGTTCCAAAGAAGCAAACGATCAATGCTCGTACTTTTCTTATCAACCAACTGCCCATGCCCCATTCCTGTATGGGAACGAGGCTGATACCTATGTGACTTAATGGGTGGGTCAGTTTTTACTGACTTTTCACTTCATTACTTATCACAGCGGCCATATCTGTCGGTCGATGATATAAAAGTATGTACTCACAGGAAACGGACACAGAGTAAGTTATAACGATACCGTGCGTCCGTATTTAGACTTCTTCAAAGCTTTGACTGAGCTCAAAGCATTAAGCAAAATCTATTCCCGATTCTATCGTGATGAGCAGGATTTAGTGATAAAAAAGATAAGGATTCTACAAAGGAATAGTTTCGTACTTGTGATTACGTATTCGAGTGCTGATTTCCAGCCAATAAAGTTTTTTAATACTATTTGATATATACACGTAATCATTTAGAGAATTACCTACGTGCCAGCAGAAATTACGTTTGGTTGTCCCGAGTGAATTAATTTTCTGACACGGGTGTTTTTCATTCGGGAGATAAAATCCTAGAGTACTCCTCGCTCGATATTATGTAAGTAGTCAACGTATGGATAAGTATTATTCGTAAATATTAGACAGTTACCCAAACTGATTTACAGTTTTGATATTGGTAACTGTGCTTTAAAGCATCGTCCCTTACTCACACAGTTTAGCTGTTCAGAAATATATCACTAAACATAATTACAAAGGCGAGATATTGTACGATAACGCTGCAGAATTATTAGGACATTTTTGTTTTAGAATGAGTGAGCGAGTAATACTATGGTTTTACACCGCTTTTAGCAATATTCCAACAATATCACGGCGGAGGGACACCAGAAATAGGCTTTACACATTGTACCCATGTGGGGAATCGAACCCGGGTCTTCGGCGTGACGAACGAACGATTTTATAGGCTAGCCCATCGCTCCAAAACCGTTCCAACAAATATTCCAAAACTGATTCTATTGTCATGCTGTTTTAGAATGACTATCGCACAACACTGGAGCGCAAATAGAGGAAGTATAAGACTGATATTCAAATTCCAATTTGATCTTCAAGGAACGGGAAATATAAATAGTGATAGTAGATACTGTAGCTGGTCTTGGTCACTTCAGAATGAGTGAGTTTGGTTCTACGCCGCTTTCAGCAATATTGCATCAATATCAACGCGGGGAACACCAGAAATGGGCTTCACTCATTTTACCATGTGGGGAATCGAACCCGGGTTTTCAGCGTGACGAGCGAACGCTTTAACCATTACCAACACCACAGCCGCAGTACGGCTAGAACGTCATCAACGGCTTATACGTACTTATGGTGAACGACTCAAGTCTTCGGCGTGTCGATTCAGCGCCTTAACCACTTGGTTTGGAAGTAAAAGTGATTGGTTAATCGATTTGTATAGGATCGATATTAGACAACTGCAGTTCGAACTGAGTGAGTGAGTTTAGTTTTACGCCGCTTTTAGCAATATTCAGATAATCACGGCGGGGGACACCAGAAATGGGCTTCACACATTGTACCATGAGGGGAGTTGAACCAAGGTCTTCGGCATAACGAGCCAATGCTTTAACCACGAGGCTTCCCCGCCGCCCCAGTTCGAACTGAATAATAATACCACCTTGGCATTTATGGCGGTTCTTTTCAAGGGCACACATATCTCAAGGGTCGCGCAAAACAATAAATATGCATAAATACTCAGATTGCAATAATGAAATACTGACACTTATATGTCGTGACGTACCTGAAAAATTGCATGACAGTTGATTTTTTATTTATTTCCTAGAAGTAAATCGTTGTTCTAAATATATTTCACTGAAATCAAAATAACAAATTGAATACGCAAAATTGGTTCAACTTAAAACGAAATTTCCATAAACATTTACACAGACATTGGAAAAATGTGTAAATATTGAACACCGAAATAAATGGCGCATACGAAGCAAGGCATTTCCATGGACATAATAACATAAGTAACGAATATAATTACAAGTAAGTCTTTTGAAGCATTGACGAACACTGAAGAACTGCATTCATATACTCATTTCTTGCTGGGTGGCTATTGGTATAGAAATAAACTTTGAAACGTATAAAATTTGTTCAAACGATTTAGCTGTTTCCAAAGTGATTTTTTTTTTCGTTTAAAGAGAATGCCTCTCTTTCACTGAAGAAGGTAATCGTCTTCCTGTACTTGGCGCACATATATTTTAACACCGAATTACTGATTCCATTAATTTGAACTCTTATCTGATTTCGAGTCTCCTTTTTCTGCCTAGAATTTGTTGCAATTCCGAGCCGCCTTCTTATCCTGTAGCCTACCTATCGCGTTTAAAGCTCGAACACTTAACCAAATTAACAATTAACCGTTTTTGTCCCGAACCGTAAAACTATACTTCAATTTGAAACTTCTTTTTTTCGATTTTGCTAACCCGCTGCTACTTGATCAAATAAGCTTCTTCCTTCAATAAACTTTCTCCCAGGAAACTTCTTTACTTAGGAGAGCTGGGCGTTTGCGGACGTCGATAATTTGAACCCGGTTCAGACAGGGGAAAAAACATCTTCGCCACTAAATTAACTGTGTTAACAGAAGCGGTATTTAGTTGCCAAACGGGGTGAACAAAGCGATTCTACGTTTCCATTTCGGTTTCCCCCCAAGCCCTAGGAGGAAGCCTATTGTAACGGGCTCAGTATTGTCCCCCATCGATGCTGTGTCACGTCTTGCGACCCTACTATTGGGAGAAGTAATGGAGTCCTTTTTCCTTGTCCCAAAGCGGGCATTTGAAATGGCGCGGGAAGCATTGCGGATCCGCCAAGAAAATTAAATAAAGATGAACTGTTTTGCGTTAATTTGGGCAATCAACCCACTAGGGACGGAGCGTCACTTCGCAGCGCTTTCAACGATCATCCTCAGCAATAGCTGTGGTACCCTCAATTAGCCGAATATATCACCCAAATTAAATTAATTAAGATAGTATGGTCTCTGAATGCTTAACACAAGGTTAATGGGAGTCTCCAGGCCTTTGACAGTATTTTTCAGCCTAATTTGATTAATTTGTAAAATATTCATTAAAACAGTATCCAATTTGGACGGAGTTTAGACTCTATGGGCGATCTTCGTCTAGGAGAGGGCCGTTGGATTTCCTTGACAAACTTGCCGCTCACGCGCTCGTTCGCTTATCGGCTATCATTTCCCCGTCCAAGACGACAATTGTTTGTGACCCGCAGCGCCAATCTCTTTGATGCCGAAATAAGACCTGAAATTCTCAATTGAGGCTAAGATTCAAATTCGCACCAGTCTTCCAATCCCGACACATTAAATCAACCCAACTAATGTCGCTCCAAATCTGAACTGGGATTTATATTTTAAAAAGTCGTGAATTAAGATTTAATACGAATCGATGAAAAAAATAAGAGAGAGGAGAGATGGAAATAACCTTTGAACATAAAAAGTATATGGTAATTTGGGTTCAATCAAGTAATTATGCGATACAATGTTTTGTAGATAACTCGTGCTTGTTTTTGTAACTAAACTTCAAAAAGTCGATAAAGGTCTTTGAAACGATTAGCAGGATGCACTATTTTGTAAAATCTATTCAAACTTTCAAATTCAAATTATTCTAAAATGCACATATATAAATAAAACAAAACAAAATAATACAAGCGACAGTTTCTGTTTTGATAAATTATATTGCCCATCGTTATTACTTCTTTTGGAATTCTTAGTTTGAATTTGTTCTAAGCAACAACCAATGCTGGTCTTAAAGGGAGACAATGTGGATCGGATGGTTTGTGGGCGTGATTGGGTGTGGTCTTGTTGAGACGTTGTAGAATGTAGCTCATGATATCCGTCACAGGTTTGTGGTCTCGAGTTTGTACAGACCGCTGGAATGTTGATGTATGTGTCGGGAAACAGTAAAGAACTACTGGTCTACATCGTATATTGACAAGATACACCTTGTTGCAAATACATGTAATATTTAGAAGTGTCCATTGAAGTGTAGGTGGTTACAATGTCTGACCATGCTGATCACGTGTAGTCCTGCAGTGACAATGTGGGTGGGTGTCGATGTCAGTCTAGAAGCCATCTCTCTCTCACACAGCCGCTCTCTCTCTCTTTCGCACACACACACACACACACACACACACACACACACACACACATTCTCTCGCACACACACACTCCCTCTCTCGCACTCGCATACACACACACACACTCTCTCTCTCTCTCGCACTCACATACACTCTCCCTCTCTCACACACACACTCTCCCTCTCTCGCACACACACTCTCCCCCTCTCTCTCTCTCACACACACACATTCTCTCTCTCGCACACACACACTCTCTCTCTCGCATCGCACACACGCTCTCTCTCTCGCACTCACATACACTCTCCTCTCTCGCACACACACTCTCCCTCTCTCTCTCTCGCACACACACTCTCCCCCCTCTCTCTCCTCTCGCACACACACTCTCCCTCTCTCTCTCTCCCTCTCTTCTTCTCCTCCCACAGACACTCCCTACCCCTGTCTCAATTGACAGTGTTCAGCCGTATCAATCAATATATCATGTTCCAGTGTATTATAAACCCTCGACTGACCCATATTTTGTTTAACGAACCGTCTAACAGGTCCACATGGAATGCAAATTATCTAGCACTAGCAAGAACCAAGTCATTGGTCAAATTGTGAATATAAAATTCATGAGGAATTAATATAATAAACAGGTCAAATGATTCGCACCTACCACAACGGAATTAACACCACCTGGTGGCAAAAAACTACAAAGGGGAATAATCTATTCATCTCTTGTATCAATTCCCTAAACTGTAAATTTCGCGACTCAATTAGTGTTCTTGATCGAAAATGTCAACAGACATCATCGCATCATCTATCAGGCGTCTGCATCCTAACGGTTCTTCCATGATTTCATTAAAGCCATTGTTGTCTTCCGCGCAGTCTTCAACACATTACCTTATTTGAAAGTCTCGCTTTCCCATTTCAATTACAGCCATTCATTTTTCTTTAACAGTAAAAACTAAAGACTTTCGACTGACGATATCATTGTAACGAGCATAGACACTAATACAGCTGAAGAACTAAGTTTTGCGTTAAAGTAGCAGTTTTTAACTTTGAAATAATTATATTCATCCAATGAGGAAATTTGATTTAGGAATTATCTTACCGTAGAGTAATCTGGAACAGTTTCGGTTTTCAGCAGCATTCTTCAACATTAATTGGAATAGTTTGCATTTGTAACAAGACTACATAGGTGCGCAATAGGCGAAACCAACAATTGGAACTTGACGTTTAACAATTATTACCAAAACGCATCATTGCTCTGATCAGCGAGTTCGAGTCTGGTGCTTAAGTTCTTAAAGTTATTAGTTCAAACTTCAGCAGTTGGAAAGCAAGATTTCATGAGATTTCATGGCATCTTCATAATTAATATTTTGTAACTTGTCGGTCTGTAAAGTCCTAACTATAAAGGTGGTATCAAGTCGTTCTTCGCTGTTGTCGTGGTGTTGAAGATGGAGCATATTTATGGCGGTTTTTCTATCCACAGACCCCGGTCCTGTGGGGTAAAGGACATAGCGTCTGTCCGGAGGAAGAAATCTCGTGGTCGAACCTCGGCCGAGTCGTACCAAAATACATTAAAATATGGTACATGTCGTTATCCTGCCTGACGCTTGGCATTATGGGAAGGGGCAGTGGGGTAGCCTAGTGGTTCACGCCGGAGGCCCGGGTTCGATTCCCCACATGGGTACAATTTGTGAAGCCCATTTCTGGTGTTCCCCGCCGTGATATTGCTGGAATATTGCTAAAAACGGCGTAAAACCTTACTCAGTCAGTCATTGAGGGAATAAAACAGAGATTGGTCCGCTAGGAGTCAGTATGTTGTGTCGCAGTAGGGTTTCAATGTTAACACGCACGAACGGACGGACGCAGACACACAGACACAGACGCGCACGCACGCACGCATTTGTCCCTGTATAGGTGCAAAGATTAACTTGTATTTTAAGTCTCGACTATCCGCTTCCATTAAAAATCAAAGGAAGTATGTGGAAATCAAGTCATCTGATATACCCTGACTTAGCGCTTCCTCCGATGGGCGGTGTCCTGTTTACGACCAGTGCCCGTCTCAAAATACCACAGAACTATTTTGATCAGGCTGTAGAATTTTCAAGTGAATGCAGTATGTTTGCGATGTAAATGTAGTAACCCTTAAACGGGCAATGCCCCAGATGTGTTTGTTTATAGTGACAATGTCTTGTGTTGTGCTAAGATGGACAGTGGGGTTGGAACTATTTGCTGAAGTGTTATAGAACTATAGGCCTGAGCCTATACAGTAGTACAATATCCAAATTGATACACGTTCCCCGAATCAGATTGAAGGAAGATGATTTCATCCATTTTCAACTTTTCGTTTGCTTCATTACAGAAGCAGACGATAATCAGTCATTCTTCATTTGGAACGATTATGTGTCGATACTATATATTTATATCATATCTTTTATATTTTTCACTTAATAGACTGAATAAAATGTATTTCATCCATTCTAAATATGTCGTCTGGTACATGCACAGAAGCAGACGAGAACCCACCTTTCTGCATCTGACTCTCCTGTTTCCGGCATTTGGCACGTCTGTTCTGGAACCATACCTGAAGGGGAAAATGCGCAGATTGACAAGCCATCCCTTGAAACACAATGCTTCACAGTTAATTTAATTTGCCTGTTTTGCTCATCGAGTTATTCCCCCTGATTCAATTACGCGGAGTTTTTCTTTCTCATTTCTTTGTGTACTTAATACTTAAAACTTCTCCAACTTCATTCTGCTTATTAGGTTAAGCCATTTCGCGCCAAATTTCTAACACCTTCTCTCATATCGATATGCAGACGATAAGAGGAGTTTGCGATTTTTTCCCCGCTAAGAACCTTCGCCTCTTTTCAACGCCAGACCGACGTATTAAGCATTGTCTGTCTTTATTTAGACAATTTACGGCTAGTCACAGATTGGTCCTTAGGGCGACACCCCTTCTCGGCACGAGATGTGGTGAATTTGATAAGAATACGGAAAGTTTTGAGACATTTTGGGATAATCTGATTTCGGAATTACGAAATTTGAACCCTCAGGCGTTGACTGTTCGTACAAGGCAAACTACGCGATGTAGGGTCTACGCTTTGCATCTGATTTTACAATTATCTGGGCAATTCTAACTCAATATTTCTCAATCATAAATTGAAAACTCAATTTACGATGAGGGCTATTGGTGAAGCCTTAATAAGGAACAACACATCCTGTATTTGCAAGTCTAATGAATCACTTCCTTAACTTCCAAAATCTGGCACTTTTCGCGGGAACGGAATATTCAAAAGCCGATGCGGTTAGATATTATGTTATGAACGATTTTTGTCAAACAGTAAAGAGATTAGCAGGACCTGCCTAGGGACATGGCTTGAACAAACACACATGAGAAAGGAGGACTTTTGATTCGGACACTGCTGCATTGCATCTTGGTACCCAGCTGTAGCACACACTTACATGTACACTGACTGACTGACTGCCTGAGTTTGGTTTTACGCCGCTTTTAGCAATATTCCAGCAACATCACGGTGGGGGACACCAGAAATGGGCTTCACACATTGTGCCCATGTGGGGATTCGAACCCGGGTCTTCGGCGTGGCGAGCCAACGCTTTAACCACTAGGCTACCCCACCGCCCTCACTTACATGTACAACGTGTATCTTGTTAAGCTTGGCATCCCTGTGTGTCTAATACACGGAGCGACGGTTACCTAGAACTGCTTGGTAAGTATTTTGACAAGAGCAACTCCTGTAGTGTTAGTGAGTGAGTGAGTGGGTGGTTTTAGTTTTACTGACTGACTGCCTGAGTTTTGGTTTTACGCCGCTTTTAGCAATATTCCAGCAACATCACGGCGGGGGACACAAGAAATGGGCTTCACACATTGTACCCATGTGGGGATTCGAACCCGGGTCCTCGGCGTGACGAGCCAACGCTTTAACCACTAGGCTACCCCACCGCCCCTTTAGTTTTACGACGCCTTTAGCAATATTCCAGCATTATTACGACAGGGGACACCAGAAATGGACTTCACACATTGTACCCATGTGGGGAATTGAACCCAGGTCTTCGGCGCGCGCGCGATAGAGAGGCAAAATAGTGTGACCTAATATTCAACATGCATGTTTACACATATTTACCATTTACCGTTAACACTTGCTTAACTCACACACATATTATGACTAACGCTCGTTTACCGCACACATATTATACCTAAGGCTCGTTTACCTGATACATATTATACCTAACGCTCGTTTACCGCACACATATTATACCTAACGCTCGTTTACCGCACACATATTATACCTTAGGCTCGTTTACCTCACACATATTATACCTAACGCTCGTTTACCTCACACATATTATACCTAAGGCTCGTTTACCTCACACATATTATACCTAAGGCTCGTTTACCTCACACATATTATACCTAAGACTCGCTTACCTCACACATATTATACCTAAGGCTCGTTTTCCTCACACATATTATACCTAACGCTCGTTTACCTCACACATATTATACTAGACTAAGGCTTAGTCTCTGAATATATTTAATTTTGATAGTAACAAACAAGCCCATTTATATTGAAAAGGAGCCCTAGGGAGACCAGAGATTCAGAGACTAAGAACATCTGCATTGGGGCTACACGTGCTGGGGTCATTACCAATTAGAAGTCACATCATACAACCATCAGATAACGCTATAAGTGAAAGGCATATTTATTGGCCCTCCTGTTAAGCCCTGTCCTATCTCCATGCTGTCATCACCTCATGTGGGCCAGTCAAGTGCCCCTACTGCCTAACATTTTACTGTTGGGAAACTTGCAGCCCACAATGTCACTTGGACACTAGATGACCAAGGTGCCAGATCTTTGTGGAACACCAACAAAATTATTTATGAATTTGAACTTATCTCCAAATTCAAAAGTTTCCATTTGTATAATATGCGAAGAGGATATAGATAACCACCTTTTTTTAAACAAACTGTTCAATGGAAGTGAAAAGGCCAGCGTCTGTCTTACGCTTGAAGATGTTCTGGGTATTTCTAGATACAAGATCATCCGCACTAGATTTCACCTTGCATGCCTCAATCACATCACAAAGGTAAACAGATTTAATTCCGAGATGCTGTGCCTTTAGCATTTGGTTCTTCATGAGAAGGCGACTAACGGGGTCGGGTGGTCAGGCTTGCTGACTTGGTTGACACATGTCATCGTATCCCAATTGCGTAGATGCTCATGCTGTTGACCACTGGATTGTCTGGTCGAGACTCGACTTATTTACAGACCGCCGCCATATATGGAATATTACTGAATGCGGTGTAAACCCAAACTCACTCACTCACTCACTCACTCTTCATGATTGCTAGGTCCCTGCCATATTGTTTTACTGTTGAGCAATTAGATAATAAGAGATACTCAAAACACACCAGAGTTTCACACGGTAAGAGTTCCTCCCGTTCCCCCATCCCAAATCATATGTATAAATATTCTAGAATTATAAACGAAACTTAACGCAACAATTACTAGAGAACACACAAAATGATTAAAAGTCCAAAATTTAAGTTAGGGCTAGGTTTAGGGTTAGGTTTAGAGTTGGGGGAACGGAAGGAACTCTTTCCTTTCACACAATAATCTTACATCAGGAATAAGAAAAATAACCCTTGTTTTAATTACAATTAAATCCTTAACCGCATTTACAATTGGGCTGCTATGTGTGGACCCAAGTCAGACAATGAAACAATACTTTTTACAACATTACATTCAGGAGGAACCTTTCCCCAAGATTTTGCTTGATTTGTCTCTTCAAGACCAGAAACTGTGCACAAGGCCTCCACTATAGCTTCATGTCATCCAATGTGCTTGTTAATTAAGAGTTGACAGATGAAAGTGTGAGGCAAGATTCCAGGCCACTGGTGAGGATGTTGGTCCGGCCAGCCATGGTAGTTAGATATGTTTACTTTGTAATCCGACCCCCAAAGTGAGTTAGTTTTCTTGCAGATGTTAACAGACCCTGAACCTGAGGAAATCTAGACTTGCTTTATTTAGGGCTTTAGCACAGCAGAGAGGGCTTGGCAGTAGGGAAATTAATGTGGTTCAGGGACTGTGAGACAGACTAATATTGCCGATGTGACGTTAAATATTAACTCACTCACTCACTCACTCACTTCGGCGTGAGGAGCGAACGCTTTAACCACTAGGCTACCCCACTGCCCCTCCCTTTAATAACGAGTTTCAATGTGTAGATGACTTACGAATTTTAAACCCGTGTGAATCATATCCCTTCAAGATCCTCTCCCGAAAACGTTTCTCCCTTTTTGAGCACTAGTAAGATCGGCGTTTTATTTGATCCGGAAAACAACAACAAAGACGGGATATATATTGTCCAGAAAGCGAACAGTAGAAATCTACGCCCAGAACATCCCGTTTCTTTGGTGTTTGACTACTAATTTGGCGCTAAATGACAAATTGAAATGGGATTGGAATTACAAAAGTGATAAATTAAATTATCCTTTTCCCAACACAGGGGGCAAAGCAACACCAAAGAGTTTTGCAGCCTGAGACTTTGATTGAATTTAAGGATCAAATCTCCGCAGACAATGTAACAGTACAATGAACCACTGTCATCCTCCGGGGGCTGTTTTTAAACGTTGAGTTTGGATAGAGATGTACAAGCTATTTTCAATGTAATTCGATATCTAGACCAATTCAACAAAACTTCGAAAAAACTTTCTGCCGTTTCAATATTCAGGCAGAGAAATAATTCGGTTTAATGATATTTTGATAAAACACTATATACTTAATTTACAAAACAGAGAGTAACAATTGTATTAATTTGAAATAAACCGATTTAATATGATTTTGCTTTCAGAAGAATTTTTTTTTTTTAAATGATTAGTGGGTTTCAAACATACATCAAGGAATCGGAGTGTTTTTGTATCAGTTAGAGTTTTTTTTTTCGGTGTGAACTTGCAAGTGAGGTTGACTTTTTTATCGTGTTAACTGCCCTGGGAGATAGTAATTCAGTTATACTGAAATATTTGGTATAATTTAGTACATCTACTCCAGCCATTGAATCATTTATTATCTCGCCAAATCGGAAAAAAGAATTTTATCAAAGAAAGTGTCGACTTCTGATATTCACTAGTACATATTTAGGACTGTTTTTGATATCTGTAGGAATGTAGGATATTTCGAGATTGAAACACTCGGCCTTTCCGAGTTCTTGCCATCCGAACCAAATCTCCTGAGCAGCATCACAAGGAACTGGCGCCGCGGACTCTGGGTATAATCTGAACGCGCCAAAGATTCTGTAGATCGGCCCAACATGGAACCGCACACTCTATCCCGCACCGCTCAAACCAAAATGACGTTTAACCTAGGATTCCAAGACCAGTCTCACGTTCTTTATTTTCGCCATAATTGGTCCAGAAACACAACGAGATTTGGACGTAAAGGAGCCAATTTAGGTAATTGCTGTTATAAACCGAACGCTGTAAGTTCAGAAGTCTAAAATTCTAGAAATCCCAAAGAAAATCTCCCTGATTTAAGGACATCACACTCCGCCACCAAACGACAC